CTGCCCCTGCGTGGGGGGTCACGCTGGCAAGCAGCCAGGCGCTTCATTTTTTTGCCAGCTGCCTTTGAGCTCAGCGGTAACTGCTGTTAGCAGACACGAAGCTCCCTGCGCGTCTTCCCTCCCAACCAGCTACAAGAAAACTACCAATTATAGCCAAGAAGCAGTCTTTCAAGCACATACCCGCATTGCAATGTGGGCTGCAGACCAATTGGAAATGTTTTGATTTGCCCTTTAAGGCCAGAGGCAGGCACTTAAGGCAAGCAGGGAGATGTTTGGGAGAACATCTAGACTAAATTTAGCTTCCTCGCCAGCCAGGCGGCATATATGCAAGGGAAGATTTAAAAGGAAGAAATCCAACCCGTGGCAAGCAGGCGTGGGTGCGCGGAGGGAGGGCGGAGACCAGCGCTTCCTCACAAAGATGCGCAGGACGCAAGCAGAGGCCTTCGCCCTCGCCGCCCCTTCCCCGCCGGCCCCTGCACCGAGAGAATCGCCAGTCCTGAAAGTCTCTGAACTCGCGCGCCAGGGAGCCAGCGCCCCATGTGACGGGGGCGCTGCCTCTGGGCCCGGCCCCGTGTCCAGCACGCGGCCCAGCGAGTATTGCCGGTAACTACCTGCACGTTGCAGAGGCCAGCAAGTGAGCATGCAGCGGGCAGACGCTTCTAGACTCAGGCAAGCCTGCGTGGAGACCACTCGAGTGTCTGCAGCAGTCTCGGGGAGACTCACCCGGCGGGCGTCGCTGTCTCCCTGCACCCGCCGCCAGGCCCAGCTGGGGACGGCAGGGAGCACCTTTGGGCGGGCTGTGTGCTAGAAGCTTCCCTGCACATTCGAGGCAAGGCAGTGGGCTCCCCCTTAGGAGGTCTCTGAGGACAGCCCTGGCACCCCACACGGGCGGCCTGGGCGGAGGGGCAGCGCAGTGGAAGGGCCCCCAGACAGGAGCTCCAGATTCCCGGCCCGTGCGCCCTGTAGACTTCCCTCCCGCAGGGCACCGAGAGGGAGCCACGCTCCACCGGAGGGCGCTCGGGGCAGAGGGCCGCGGTGGGTGGGCCACCACGCTGTCTCTCTAGGTGCCCGCGCCTGGCGCAGGCCACGGCGGGGCCCGGCGGGGGCCGCTCCGGCCGGTGGACCCTGGAGCCACGTGCCTTCCCGTTTCTAAATCTTGTGGTGATGCGTTCATGAAGCCACCTGAAGAGGGGCCTCGCGGTGTGTGGCTTAAGGTTTCCGTTGCTTTGAAGTGGTGTTTCCTTGACGGCATTTATCTCCCCTGCTGTTCTCGGGTTTTCAGTCACCCGGACTTTAGAAGCAAAGCTTGCGCCCAGCTCTCGCCCCTCGGGGGCACAGGGCACAGCCTGCACGGCCTGCAGGGACCCTGCGCCGTGCTCAGCTGACGCGGGGGCGGGAAAGCCAGGCCACCTTGCAGGCACCCGCAGGCAGGGAGCCAGGGCCTGGGCGAGGCAGCTCGAGGCTCGGGGAAGGGGGCGGCTGGGCCAGCTAACTGAGGGGGCAGAACCCCGCTCCAGAGACGGCGTGCCCCCAGGCATGTGTGCATACGTGTGCATGCGCGACGTTAGCCCGCTGTGCTCTGCTGTCCTCTCGGCCCTCGCCTTCCACTAGACGCCTGCCCCAAAGCTCCGTCACGCGCCGCTGTCATCCAGCAGTTCCCTGGAGGGCGGGGAGGGTGCCTCCCAGCACCGAGGTACCCACCCTGGCGACAGCCGAGACCCCGCCAGCACACTCTCCAGGCTCCCTGACCCGAACGACCTCGGGCCCCCCGGAATTGCCGCCCTTACCTTTAAAGTCTGCCGGTCTGTCCAGCCGCCTGTCTGGTCAGCTGTCTGCCGCCCGCTGTCCCTTGGGTCAGGCCCCTCCCCGTTCTCTCCCCCCCTTAGCCCGAGCAGCCTCATCTTCTCAGTGAAATGCACACAGTTGGTTACCGTCCTCCAGTCGTGTAAGCTTCTCGCTTTGCTGAATCAGCTGCTGGGCGGGGCTCGGCATCCGTCCCGTCCTTGCCGTCCTGCCCCTTCGGCGGGAAGTCTCGGGAGCGCTCCCGCCCTGCCGCCCGGGCGCACAGTACTCCCTGGAGGACCCTGGCCAACGCGCCAGCCGCCGCATGTGGGTGGTCGCCACGCCCGGCTGTGTTGGTAGCACGGCTGGAGTGGACGCAGGGCGAGCAGGTGCCCAGGCAGGCCGCGGGCACCCGGGCAGGCTCATGGGCACCCAGGCAGGCCCACAGGCACCCAGGCAGGCTCATGGGCACCCAGGCAGGCTCATGGGCACC